ATCTATGGAATCACTATAGACTTTAAGGTCTCATTCGCGGCTTCAGAAAGAGGATGAAATTTCAGAGGGGCTCGTAGTGAGAGTGCGGTGTCTCTGCTTTGCCATTTGACAACAGTCCAATTAGAAGAAGGAACAAGAGATAAATACAAATGGAGAGATGGAGTTGGGCACCAAAAAGACTTCTCTTTCTCACTTGCAAGGAAACAAACTGCAGCTTCCTTCACCGAAGTTGAGTGGCACAATGAGGTTTGGTTTTCTGGTCACATTCCTAAACATGCTTTCATTCTATGGTTAGCTTGTTTGGATAGATTAGCTACTAAATCTAGATTGTCAAATTGGAGAGTTTTTCAATAAGACACTTGTGTGTTATGCGAAATTTATTCTGAAACCAGGGACAATTTGTTCTTGAACTGCCCTTATAGCCAAGATGTCTGGCGAATGGCGTTTCAAAGGTTGAAAGCTCCTTATTTGGGCTTTTGAACATGGTGTATTTTTCAAAGATGGCTTAGGAGAACATACCCAAATGCTGCAGAAAAAACCTGAGGATATTAATGGCTCAAGCTGTTGTGTATTACGTCTGAAAACAGAGGAATGACCGGATTTTCACAAACAAAAAACTCCCAGCAGAGATCCTCTTCAAGAAGATAGACCGAGGGGTCCGTGATGCATGTTTGGCTCTCAAGCACAAGCAAAACTTCAAGGATTGCCTAGGATTGTGGTTTAGAGGAACTTGATCCTCCTTGTAATGATTTTTCTTTCTTTTTCCTTTATGGTTTTTGACCGAAGGAAACAATTTATTTTCTCTCTCTTATGTAATTTCTTTAAAGTATGAATACGACCAGAAAATTTAGAAAAAAAAAAAAAATACATCTCTTCGCCTCTACTCTTCATGCATCATGCAGCCTCTCTCAGTCGTCTTCAAATATTCAGTTTCTCCTCAAATCTATGATCTTTGTATCATCATTTTTCTTATTTGGTTATTATGCTTATATTAGATCTCTATCTATAGAAATTGGTATAATAGGTTAATAAATTTTGCTTTTTTTTTAAGTATACAGATTCGTTAAATAGATATGATGTCGATATCACATGGCAAAGAGTGATGGCGTTGTCCTTTGTGGAGGGGTTGAAATTGACTGACCTCGAGTATTTTTTTCTTGGAGAAAAATGGTTCCACTATTTTTGGCTCATGTTTTGCTGCATATCGATTGCACTGACCATCCGACAGTTGGAATTTTTGTTAAAAAACAGAACGTTAGATTTATGGATAATTTATTTCGATTTAGGAAGTGGTAAACCTTATTCCTTTGGAAAGTCGTGGTAATGCAGATTTCCTTATAAATAAATATCAAAGAGTTCATATCGATTTGACATCAAGACCGATGCTTCTGATATGGTAATTAGAGATTGTACATGTGTTTTTACAATCTTTAATTTTGCTGCCTAATCTCTAGCTGTAATTTTGATTTTTTTTTTTTTCACAGCCACATGTTGAGAGGTTCACATGTCGAACTATAGTGGTTAAGAATCTTTACTAGTACAAAATATTTAACTTTGAAGGAGGAGGGGCACTATTCAAGTGGATGTTGGAGGAAGCACTTAGAGTTTATCTACCGTGCGTATCCTGATCATATTACAATCTTCGGCGCAGATAATTCTGGTAGCTTTTTCTACGTTTTGATTTGGCAAATTAAAAGAAAAATATATATTAGCATATATTACCATCAAATTAGTTAAGTCGCCATTTGTTTAATAACCCTAACTCACACATTTTCTTCTTCTCCTTATCTCTTTTTTTTTTTAATATAATTTTTATGGTAACTATATGCAAAAAAGTCTAGAATATATAGGTAAATATATGCAAAAAAAGTCGGTTGATTTGATTATAGCAACCTAATG